GCACTTGGAGTCTTTACTTATCCTTTCTATATATTTTTTGCTTAATTTGTATGTTTATTTTTTTACAAAAATTATACTAAGATCCTTATGAGTAATCTAATATGATACTGCGAAGCTTTCGCTATATTGTAAAGTTGTTCAGATTTCAAGATATCGATAATTAGATCATAAAGATTTAACAATAGTTCAAATATTTGCAATATTATTTAGTTTACATTATGATTCGCTTTCTTTTTTTTTTCTAAATTTCCTTCCACTTTAAAAGCCACTCGGCCCATTAATCTTAACTACATCCGTAGATATTAGTATAGTTCGGCTAGAAGTTCAACTGTTATGAAAATAATTATACTAACTGCCTACGTTATACTTCAATAAAAACAGGGATAACTGCACTTAATAGGGAATCTAAATTATTTTATTAGTTTTCGTAGAATTCTTTTTTACTTTCTCCAAAGGACCCTCTGACAAAGTTTGTTATATAACATAACACTGGGATTTGACGTAACTTTATCTTTTTATAACTCTACCTCAAAATGTATCATCTGTGTGTTGTATAGGTTCATATATATTTCTTAGATTAGTCTATTTTAAATTAGTTATTATTTGAAATATTATTTTTTATTATTTTTTTAGAAATTGCATTAATAATTTAAGATTTTGCGTTTAAATATAAGGAAATATTCACGATGCCACTACTTTTCAGTGTCCAAATTTTCATTCCTAACAAAATATGAGCCTGATAAGTATTTAGTACATGAATTCTTTCTACTCGCATGTCATCATTTTCTACTCGAAGAGTTTTCAATGTCCTTAGGTAGTTATTTGAACTGCCTGTCTTTGTTTTTAGAACCGTCCTCGTTGGCGCTAAGTGCTTGTTTGAGATATTAAAATATTTATCATTTTTATTTGTAAGCTTCATTATTATTTTGAAGCTGTTTGAGCCAGTGCACTTAAGCACTTTTACTCTTTATTAACTCGAGGTATTTTCAAAACCCCTCTTTACACCTTGACTAGATTATTGTTTATCACTTCATCAGACTAAGCAATAATTGACCTTAGATCTGCATACCTCAATCCTTCATGTTTATCATGATAAACATAATAATAATAATGACAGCTTATTAGAACACTGTAGTACTTATATACACAAACTTGGGTTACTACCATGAGTTTTTTAACATTAAATGCCTTTGAATTATTCTAATTTATTTGAAATCTATGTTTATTATATATATGTATATATTATATATTATTATTTCAGTAGAACTAACGTGTAGTTCCACAAGTAGATGTAACAAATTTAAAATTATAAAGCAGATATTGAGTTTTCTTTATATATATGCTGAAGCAACATTTTAATAACCCTCTTCTTTATATCTATAATAACTTATAACACAAAAGTACATTTAATCTATGTTCATTTATAATGAAATAACTTTATGAACTTTAAGTAATTTATTCAATATATTATCATTTGTTACCTTACCACTTAAATTCCTAAAATAGCATTGAAGTACATTTTGTGATATTGGCAATAATTTTCTTCTTCTTTCTTAACGAAGGAACTATTGAACACCTCTCCATTCTCCATTCTCCAATGCCTTTTTCAATGATTTCGTATTTATTTTTGCATTTTTAGCAAATCATAAATTGCCTGCAATTGTTTTTATTAGGCATTATTTACCTTAAACCATAATTATTCTTTATGTAAGAGTGTATTTACCAAATGGCTTTCCTTATGCATTCCTTTACACATTATATTTATCAAGATTACAGCGACAAACGCATTATTCTCGTTCGCATAATTCTCGTAATACTTTCTGGAGTATGTGCCACGCCGAAGAATCCACGCATTGCCAACATTACAATCTCGCTGAAAAGAGCGCAGAGGTCACGTAACTCCATTTATATTAAATTATCTTTCCATACTAATAAATTGAAAGCAATTATAGGGAATTATCGTTATTTATTGTAAGATTGTAAGATATAAACCGACATTTGCAAACGATATTTTCTTGCAATTTAATGTCTTCCCTTTTTGCCTTCACTCACTTCATTCATCTCTATCTGCTTCGCTTGATATCTTTACAGTTTTTGTTTAATTTCAATTAATTGAACTTTTTTTCTTTTTTTTTATAATTTTATTTATTTTTTTTTTCTTTTTTGAACAACTAAATATGCAATATAAGCTATTATTTCCGTGTTAGTGTTGGAAAATGATAAATGGATAAACTCAAGTATCTTAAATTCTTATGATTGTTATTATTATTGTTGTTGTTGTTGTTTTGTACTAATGAGACATTTCCTTTTAGTTTCTGATAAATTTTTCCTTCAATATATATTGTACATATAGCGGAGTCCCACCATCAATCTACCCTCCCACTGCTTAGTGCTTCACACTTAATTCAGTTTTAAATTGCTAAAATAATGAACGTTAAACGAGTGTAATTAAATGTAATTATTTGAGTTTAAATTTAATATATTTAGTATTTTCACATATTAATTTAATGGTGTTGTTGCTTTGTTTTTGCCTTTAATTGCAATCAGAAACAAGCCAACCAAGACGACAATGAATTTAAAACAAAGAAAGTCTTACATAATTAATTTTGTTGAGTCATTTTTGTTTAAATTAAAATTTGTTAATAAACCCAAAAGGCAAATGAGCTTTGATTGTACAATATATAATATTAACACAAATAAAATTTCTTAAAATAAATATGGATTGTCTTATGGATTGTTCGTATTTAGAATCTATATGTATTAGTTTTAGGGTCGCGAAATATAGTACAGTTCTCGAATATTGAAGAAAAGCTTCTTTATACAAACAAACAATGAAAACTTTATTTAATACAATACTGAAAATTATAATCCTTATTTCATAAAACTTTTTTCTATAACACTTTTCTCGATTGGCACTCTGACAAAGTAAGTTTAAAGCTATATAATACACTGCATTACCACTTAACTCATACGCAGGACTTTGACGTATCTTATGACTTCTCACTTTTCTGACTTTTACTCGTTTTATCACACTTTAAAATATATAAAAACAATTACCGCTAAAAGTGCCTTCAAAATAATATTTTAAAATAAAAGTGGGACCCATTGGAAAATAGTCCGCTCTAAATGTGTTAAACCACAAATGAACATCTTTTGCATATGATTTTAAAACGTAATAGATATATTGAACCATATTTTATTAATAAATTCAAAGAAATAATGACATTATTTTTACTCTAATAACTTTTACTCTTTTCCATTCACTATCTGCGCCCTTGATCGAATGATAACTCAACCCGAAAAATCAAAGTTATACATATAGCAAAAACTTAGTTGATTAGACGTTTAGCATCTAATAAAAATATACCCAATAAGAAATTAAAGATTTCAAAAACCTGACCGATGGTCAACCGTAAAAATGAAAAAAAAGCATATAACAAAAACTTAGTAGTTGATCAGACTTATACATCTATTACAAAGACGTCCAATAAAAATTTAAAAATTATAAAAACCTAAGCATAAGTACACCAAAATTCAGCATGAAAATCTATATCAACAGCTACAAAATATATTTTTTTGAAACCGAGAGATTAACAGTATACCTAATTTTCAAATCTACAACCCATCTACAAATCTATTATATGGACTATAAAATTAGCTTACAAATGGGAAAGAACTAAAGTGCCAGCTGAAACTAAACACAAAAAAAATTCGAAAGGACTCCATAAGAGATAAACCACCTTCTGAATTTAAATTGTTTCATACAAACTTATGGTGATAAAATATCTATATTTTATTACCATAAATTCAAACAATATGCTTTAACACTAAAAGTATTGACGTGACATATAGAATGAACTTTCAGTACTGTTTAAATATAATAAACACTTGTATAACTGCAATATCTCAATCCAGATAAACAGTTATTGTGTGAATAGGATAACATTAATAAACTGTATTAAGTAGGAGAAATTATAAAAGTGCTAGAAGTACTTCATAAATATGCTATTTTTATTTACTATTGTCATTTGTAATATATATAAAGTTGTAAGTCCGATAATGTCGAATTGAGTTTTAATAAATATGAAGCATTTCAATATATAATTAATTATTGAATCCAGTGCATTTTATAAATAATAATATATTTGTTTTGAAAAACAAAAATAACAAGTTTTTATTGAAAATGAATCATATATCTATATATATAAAAGTGAATGTTGTCTGTCTGTCTGTCGTCTGTCTGTTCTCGATGAATTCAAAAACCATACGTTCAATCATCGTGAAAATTTGGGAAATTATTAGGTATATCCCCGGGAAGGTTTTTGTAAATTTTAGAATAGTAAGATTCCAATATATCTATGTAAAATTGCATTGACTTCATTAGCAAGTAAACTAATACTATATTCAGACAGCCAAATTTTCTTAATTTCGTAAAAATGAAATTAAGTTAATTTCAAAAGTGTTCATACTGCCCTAAATTAAGGACATCATATATTTTTTGTTTACAAATCGAATGTTAAGAATTACATGCTCCAAACACCATTTGTATCTGAGAAATTTTAAAAGTTGATTATTATAACTATAAAGGATGGCATTCAGTAGTTTTATTACGCTACTTTCAAACTATTTTCCCGATTTTATTAAAATCAACTTTCATTGTCTTTAATTTAAAAAAAATCATGACTTTTTTGTTATCTCAACTTTACCTTTTGCTTAAAATTTATCTTACGCATAGTTGCATTTGAAATGTCCCTTATACGGCGTTTACATTGGCCGAAAATGGCTCATTTTGGTCAAAAATCGAAAATGAGTATCGAATGGCTCATTC